GCCCACACAGATAGCTATGACAGAAAAAGAAAGAAAAGAAAACGGGGAGGGAAGTAAGGGAGAGAGGAGGGGAGAGAGGAAAGGAGGGGAGAAAGTGTAGGTAAACTTTCACTAATGCCACTCTGCTTTCAGATAATTTTTGGTAATCATGCCTTCTACTTTCCACTGCACTTAGACTAGCACTATACAAAAAAAAAAAAAAAACAAAACAAAAACAAAAAAACAAAACAAAAAAAACGTGTCTGGGAATGTATGAGGGTGAAGGAATGGCTGCCTTAGGGAAAAGGAATGGCAAGAAAGAATGGAGTATCGTGCTATCACATGAATTTAATTTAATGATGAAAATGAAGCTAGTTTGTTTTTCTAACTGATGTGGAGATGGGGAAGAGAACAAGGCAGAAGAAAGCAAAACAAAAACAAAAACAAAACAAAACAAAAAACTTAAACTAGCCTGTCACGATTTCCAAATGATTGTGTCAACACCAGAAGCACAAGGGTGTGGCTCAGCAGCATGGGCCTAGCATGTTTAAGAGGCCCTGGACTCCAGCCCTTAGACCACAGCAGGAGAAATTAATCACTTCACCTCACCAGTGAGCATATGCTATGAGGTATGTCATCCCTTCCCAATTGGGCGGGGGGAGGGACGGGGACACATTGGGGGGGGGGGGTAGTGCCTGTCCTGTGAGGTGAAAGTCCACTCGGAATACTTAGGCTGAAAGTCACTTCTCTAGACTGAAGTACGGCCCATGCTGGCCTTTGAGGAAAATATCCTAACGGCGGCAATACAATGAAACATAACCAGATTTTGCTGCAGCAAGATGCCCATCTTTGTGCTAATCTGTCCATTCTCAGTCAGTGTCTTAACACAAATCTCATTAAGGAAGAGGGGATTCAAAATCAGCATTCCTGTGAAATGTATCTTCTGCCGTGCCAAGTCCAATACGCTTAGATACGCTTAATTTCGTTTTGTGTTCAGCAGCACACACACCTCTGCTGTAAGGTGGACAAATTCTCTCTATACATGAGTAGTGAACAACCCTTTACCTGCACACACTTATAACTATCCTCCTCAGATCAACCAGCACAAAAAAACACCAACTTGTAAATAAACCCGTCACCTATATAAATCCAACGTGAGCTGGACTTTCCAGAGCGAAGAGGTACTGTAGTTTTACCTAACTTGCGAGTTTGAGCTCCACTTCAAAGTAAGCTATTTCAGCTGCCTTTAAAGATGCAGATTGTGGGGCTAGACTGAGAACACTGACCTCGTTAAAAAGTTTTATCTTTTAAATCCAAACTAGAGAATTCTCCATCCCCTACATTCAGATCTGAAATTCTCATTTATACTCACAGATACTCTCTTCAGAAAGTTTAAGAAAATACAACTAATTCTGTTTTCCAAAATTAACAGTATATTAGACCAAGTTGCCTTCAAGACATTTTGTTCAGAATATTATACAAATAAAACCCACAGTACCTTTTTATAATGAGCTATGCAGCCCTGAAGATGAGCTAAGCAGGGCGGAGCTATTTGTCTAAGTATGCCCTACCTAAACATCATACCAACTCACGTTCTAACTAATTAAGTAAAACTTCCCTAAAGATCTAAGATATCATGGTCCTGAAGAGGAAATCATCCATTTATTATTCAGACATCATGAGACAACATTTGACTTTCTGTAGCACAATTTAAATAATCTGTTTTTGTGATAAAGCAGAGTATGGCAGGAAAAAAAAGCCAAGTCTGTTTCCAGTAAAAATTTTAAGTGAAAACTTAAAATTAAGTTTTTCAAAGACGTTATCGAGAAACAAATGCCATCACACTAAGTGAGGTTTCAACCAGAAGAGTTACTTTCTGAGCCAGGTCTCACAGCTTGGCCCTGAAGCTCGGGGCCCTGGAAGTGCTTTATCCCATCCCTTGTGGAGGAGCTCTGCAATTTCCAAACCAGTTTTCTGCAACCACACTGGCAGCCTTCAATGGGCATTTCAGTCACTTAAAAATAAACTGAGAAATCCTTTAGCTCTTAAATTTTCATCATTCCAAGACATCCAGTTCATTCCCAAGGTAATTCTGGTTCAGAGTAGACGCATGCGGGCCAGTAATTTGGAGAGCCACTCCAGAGCACTAAGCAGACGAGGCTTGTCTGTGCCTGGGGAGGTGCCAGTGCAGAGGGTAGAGCAAACGTGTACTTGTATGTTCACTTGTTTCATTAAACCTCACGCCCTCAACCCTCTGTTGAAATGCAACCACTGTATCTCGTGGTTTTTAATTGTAAGGACTTAGGCTTCAAGAAAACTAATGCCTATTTTGTCCTCCAAGCCAAGAAGTGAGGCAGATTCACCACCACTGGAGACTGAATGCACACAGACATCAAAACCAGAAGACGGGACTTAAATAGTGTGCTGACGAACATGAAAAATGACTATCTGCACATACAGGTGGTCCTTCAGAGTTCTGACCTGTACACTTGTCAGCGAGTGTTTGGAGACAACTGCAACTCACGAGGGCACAGATGAGTTCTTCCACTCACCTTTCATTTCTCTCAGTCTTGAAAGGCAGGCAGCCATTTGTTTTGGTGTAAGTCAAAAGTTCTAAACAATTTTGTAGTCATTATATTTCATACAAAAAAATTATGTAAACATTATATTACATAGACATAGAATTATCACTGAGCTACACATCCAGCTACTATGAGGGCATGTGGATTTCTTTTGCTTTGTGTGCTTGAGATTTTTTTTTTTTTTTACAACAAAGCACTAAGGACAGCCTTAAACTCACTGTACAGCTAAAGATGGGTTTGAACTCCAGATCCTCCTTCCCCTGCTTCTATCTCCCCACGCCTTATATCCCCATTCACCCGCCCCCACATGGCCCGACCCTTCACCTCGCAGGCTGCTGAGGTTCACAGGCATATGCTACCACCCCCAGATGGTTTGCAAGTTATGCATCGAAGCACAGATGCTACCTATAACCTAAACGCTCTAAGGGAGAAAGAGTGCCAATTCCTAACACAGCGTGTTTACAAAGGAAAAAAGACTGCATGGCTGTGTCCCGTGTCCCTAAATCCCAAGTAAGTCTGAAACAGAAGCTGCAGAGTAGCGCTTTTAGCACTGATGCAGTCATTAGTTTTCAAGTAAGCCATCCTGCTTCAGTTTGAAATGAAGGTTAGACGGTCAAAGTTAGGCTTCATTAATAAAACATAAGGAAAATAATGTCTGATTTTTCAAATTAATTTTGAAGTCCTCAAATAAGAATTTTTCGTGTATTACACTTTATTACCACAAATATGAGTGCCATCGGGGCTGTTTAAGCAGAAATGGAGCTACTGGTTAGGATCACTGTCTTCGGAAGGTCTTACTTGATAGGTCTTTGGAAAAGTCCCTTAACCTCTGGGAGCTCCCTTATCTGCTATCCAGACATAATTAGAAAATAGTTGTAGCTGCTGGCGTTCTAGAGAGCGCTCCAGAGTTGATGACCACTCAATGCAGCCCCTACAAACTGAACCTGTAAGTGCATGTGAATCAAGAATAGGTGCAACAGCTAATATTTTATTTAAATAAAAGCGAAAGGTCATAAGAGGAAAAATAATAACCCAGGCAAATACTCATGAAAAGAAAGCAAAAGCAAAGCAAAGGTCTTCAAGGAGGCTCAGAAGCTAAAGGGTTTGCTGCTTATCCTGATGAGCAGAGTTTGTGTCCTGCTCATGGTGTTAGAAGAAAAAAAAAAAAAACCCAACTCCTGCAGGCTATCCTCTGAGCTCCATAAATGTCCACTATAGCAAGTGTACACCCACACAATAAACAAGTACATGCAACAACAATTTAAAGAAAACCAAGAAACAAGAACCCAACAAAATCAGCTCATGTCTCAGACACTTAAAAGTGCCACAAGCATGAGGAACTGGGCACCAACTTAAACCAGTACATCGACAGCCACACAGAAAACCAATGCCAACATTAATACACAAGGAAAATGAACAGGAAATGAACAGACTTCCCAAGCTGGGAACAGAAAATGAAGTATTGTAAATCCAGTGATGGATAGCAGAAAAGGTTTAACTTGATAATTTGGTATCACAAAACATCCCAAGATGCTATGATGATTAAAAAACAACAATAACGACAACACAACACTTTCAAGGTCTGTGTACTTTGCCCTAAGAACCAGAGCACTGACAAAGCAAGCGGGCATCAGAGGCCATACCCTGCGAACCCTGATCAGCCATCTCTGAACGAGCATGTCCAACATGCTAACTGTGTGTAACATTTAAGCGTCTTACACACTCTGTGCAGATTATTTCTATGTTGTGCTTACAGAGGTGTGGTTCTTAGACTCTGAGTGCATTTCAGATGTTCATACTCAATCACTTAACAGCCTTTATTCTGTTAACTATAAGGCAGTCAATGTTCCAAGGACTAGGATGTCTTTGGACAGAAACAATCCCAATGCTGGCTTATATTCTCGTAAGAGATGTTACAAATGAAGAAGGGTGTATCAAGTGTTAATAAATATCATCAACATACAATATGGATGTGTGATGAGAATCAGTGGCCAAAAAAGGCAAGTACATACTTCACAGTAGCTATCTACCAAGAATGAGATTTGCTACCAAAATCTAGAATAGTTTTTCTTTTCTTCTACATCACACCAGCTTAATAATGAGTGAAAAACATAAATGAAAACATTGTCCAGGCTCTCAGGTTAAAATTTCATGAATTAACTCATCAGCTTGTCCAGAGGGCACACTCCGGCCTCTTCCCAAACAGAAATAGTGACCACCAATCAACACACTTAGTGTTTTGCCTTCAAGCATCATTTCAACAAGTTCATAAAGAATTGTCGTAACAAAAGCATGCAGGAAAACAGGTAATTTTTATTCTGTTTTTATTTACATTCCTTTAATTCACTTATTACGTTTCCAAAATACTTGATAATTAAAATATTTAACCTCAGTAACAGTCAACATATTGCAACAAAAAAGATTGAAGCATCAGCTCACCTGTGCCTGTACACAGTGCAGAAGGTCTTTAATGTGAAGCCAAATCCAAGAGAAATCTGTAATGTGAACAAAACAACAAACATTAGTGAAGATGCAGAATTGGGCTGGACTCCTCAGAGTACATAAAACTTTGCAATGGCTACATGGCTAATACGTGGTCATCGTTCCCAAACACAAGTAGCCTTCGTTAGTGACGGTCCGATGCTGAACTGCACAGGAAGCCCGGAGGCAGAACGACTATGCACCACGTCTGCTTGCACAGAACAGCACGAAATGTACAGGGGACATTTCACTGTGAAACAGGGCATCTTCAAGACGGCCAGCCCTCGGCAGCAGGGAAGATGATCACCGCGGAGGTGGCCTCCGCTGCCCATGGCTGCTCTGCAGTCCTAGAGCCAGCACAGGGCCCGCACACTGTAACATGCTGCATGTATTCTAAGTAAAGCAATAAATTACACAGAGTGACCTAATGTCCCATGCTCACAGTTTGCCAATACAGAACCGAAAGGCTTAAAATTACTGAAGTCAAACAAAAATCTATGAAGTAACATTAAAAGCACAGAAACAACAGAGAAATCTATCAGAGTGGAGTATACTGTGTGTGACAGCCACAATAGTGTGCTAGCAGGAAATGCACAAGCCAGGGGAGAGGTGCACACTAACCAGGTGGCTCCTCACGGGTCCTCAGGGTCCCCTGAGAACAAAGGCCTCAAGTGTAAACTGGCAGCAGCCTTTGCTTTGATCCTGCCTCCTTGCCACACAAGTGTATTACCAGATGCACATGGAGAAGCAGAAGACAGGAAATGCATGCTTCTGCTACTTTCTCTAGACTCATGCTATTCTAGATTAATTGTATATTTTATGGATGCCTGAAAAAAAAAAAAAAAAAAAAAAACAACTGAGTGCTTGTTACTGGTAACAGTACTGAAATTGCAGTCTTTTGGAAGAACATTAATGCTGTCAGACTTAGCTTCAAGGAATGTTTTTACAACTGGCCTTGAAGGTTTCATTTACTTCATGTGATAGCAATCTATAACTTTTCACTTTAGATTCGTTACAAACTTAAAACAGTGTTAATTCCTTTAAAGCTTTTTTTTTTAAGAAGAGAAAAAAGAAGATGAAGCAGCTAATACCAAATTAATATTCAAATTATTCTTTTTTTCTAGGACACTGGAAACATTTGACTTCATGATGTCTATAAGGTGACTAGAGGAAAGAAATTGACAAACATGAATTTTGGTTTTCACCAGGACGGAGTCCTGAAATCATATGTAATAAAATGCCATATGGGTATCAGAAATAACTGAATGAAAATAACAACAACAACAAAAAAAAGGCATATGCAAATAAGTTATCACAGTAAAATGAATGGGTTCTGCTCAAGTGGCAGTCAGTGCCACTGAGCAATGAACTGCTACGGAGGGCCCTTGGTCCTTTCAGCAAGACAGGGGAAGACTTTAGACTACTCACCACACGAGCCCACGCACACCCCTGACACCAGCCCGACGGCACCATACACGCAACAACCATGAGCTAAGGCTCACGAGCTGGTAGGGCACGGCCTGCTTGCTCTGTCCTATTCAGTAAGCTTTATTAAGGTAAGTAGCAATTCACTCCCATAAAAAAAAAAAAAAAAAAGATGCATAGGACACCAACACGTTTCTAGATATCCATGGTATAAGATTTCTTAGTGTGAGTTCTAAACAGAAAAATAAAATATAAACACAGAGTTACAAACTAACTTTTAAGTTTACACACTACTTTGAAGAATCATTTAAAGTAGCAGTACATGGCATAAATTTCTATAATTAGTAATCATCTCACTTCTCCCTCAGTCTGCCTAGTCGTCAAGTTCCCCGTGAGGGTGCTGGTCAAAGAAAGGAGGAAGGAAGGCAACTGGCCTGTGCAGAGTCACAGAAGATGGGAGGCTGGCAAGAAGGGCAAAGGGGCTGTAATTTGTGTTCATGACACATCCGGGTGCTACCTAAGAAGGTCCACAAAGGAATGGAAGGACGGGTGAAAGAGCCCAGGGTTAGACTCCCTACACAGAATAGGTATCAGGTACTGACTGGCCAAACAAGGACTACTGCTATCCATATTATGATTACCATGAGGCCAGGATCACAACCGAACACATTCATTGCACACTTCATTATGAAATGAGAATAACAACACTCTCTTTATGGAATCTTGAAAGAAGCAAAGAGACAATTGTGTAAAGCACCTAACACACAGCAGCATTATAACTATGATTCTTTAACACAGTGGGGGCTGTGAGAAATGACTCAATCAAAGACATAGAAGCTCGGGCCCACCCACCTCAAGTACACCTAGTTTTCCCTAGTGTGTCCTCATACATCTGCCCTTGAACCCGCCTGAGTAACAAGAACAGAGAATGCTAAAGCTCTTTAATAGTACTCCAAAAGTTACAAGTTGAGTGAGCTACTTCTGACTCAGTAATCAGCAATCAGCACAGTAATCAGCAGACCGGTGGGGTATCCGTGTAAGTTAAGCAACGGGGCAAAACTAAGTCCAGGAACTGAATTCTCTGTTGGTTCACACTAAACAAAAGAAGTCAAAGTAACTGAACAAGGAAAGGCCGATCTCTGCAGAAGCGCCTCTCCACACTGGCTGTGCGTCTGCAGAGATGTCAGTCATCGCGCACAAAGCCCTGCTGGAAAAGAAGTGGGCACGAGCCCTGCTGGAAAAGAAGTGGGCACGAGCCTCGAAGACTGCACCCTGAGACACGATGTAGCTCAAGGATACAACACACTGGCTAGTATGTCGGAGCGCCTAGGTTCAAGCCCCAACACCAGACAGGCAGGCAGACAGACAGGCAGACAGGCAGACAGACAGACAGACATATACCCACTCAGGCACACACAGTTAAAATAACCAATTCACTGAATCAGCGATATTTTCAGAAGTGACAAGTACAGTTCATAAAAGAAACATAAACTAGACATTAAAATTAGTTCTGCATCATAATAGTTTTAGGTAACAAGCCCACAAATCCAACTGGAAGAAAATATTTGTAAAGTTACCTTTACAAGACGTAAACTTGGTATGCGAAGAGCTAAATACCCACCTGGAAAGGGACTGTGTCTAGAAAACACGAAGAGCTCCTACCACTCACTGATGAGAAAAATAACTTAAATTTTAAAAACCATTTTGAAAACTTCTGTGTGGGGCTGGAGATGTGATGGCCCAGAACTGAGAGCCAGCACACGCAAGGCAGCTCACAACTGCCCACGACCACAGTTACAGGGGACACGACACCCTCTTCTGACCTCCACAGATCCCTGACGTGCACACGCTACACAAAAACACATGGAGGCCAAAACTCACACAGACAACATAAAAATGGATCCTTAAAGGGAGCGTTCAAAAAGATGTGTGTGCATGCCATGTATGTGCAGGTGAGCACAGAGGCGGCGCCGGAGTCCTTGGAGTTGGAGCGACTAGTGACGGAGGTGCTGGCGCCCGCACTCCAGGCCTTTGATCAGCAGCAGGTGCTCTGGAGTGCAGAGCTGCTCTACATTAACTTGGTCTCTAGGAAAAAGCAAGATACGTGCTTGCTCACTATTACCATCTGGGTCTTAGAAGACCCAACTATTTATAAACAGCATCGCTGTGCAGGTGCGCGTGGTTTGTATGTAGTGTACATGCATGTAAGTATGTGCAAAGCCGCCACAGAAGGACACCAGTTTTCTTCCTCTATCACTCTCGGCCTTACTCTCCCGAACCTGAGTCTCCTGTTTCTCGGCTAGACAGGCAGCCAGCCCCATCCATCTTCTGCCACCAGCACTGGGGTCCTAGGATTCAAACTCCAGTCTTCATGGCAATGCAGGAAGTGCTCTCAGATGCTGAGCTCTCTTTCAAGAGTGAAAGATTTGTGTAGGTATGTTCTTCGTTCCTGTTGTAGTATGAAGGCAGCAAGAGACAGGTAGTTCTAATACAGATGTGCTGTGCACCTTCCCAGGATCAACACTTAGCACATCTGCCAGCAGGACCGAGTCTATTCTATGCACAGTCTGCTAGAGGAACGAGGCCTAGCAAGTTAAAGGCATAGGTGAGGAGCAGCTACATTCAGTATCTCCCCATACTTTGTTAATAAATGATTATAAATAGTTAGCAAAAGCAAAGTAAGTTAAGGAAACGAATGAAGTGCAGGTGCAATACCGACCAGAGGGCATTTTATTTTTCCTGAAGAAGCAAAAAAAAAAAAAAAAAAAAAGACATAGACTATACTACCACCTTTTGAGATAGTTGCCTCGGGTGGTCTCAACCTCCGGAGGTGCCTGGACCACAAGCATATACATACCATGATATGTCGCTTTAAAAGCTTGATATTCTCGAATACTGACAACAAAAATTCACCACATACTGTTACAGGGTATTTGTTTATTATACATAGAAAATGTATAGCTGTTAGCAAAATATGAATGTCTAAATAGATACTGCAATTTGTCTGATGCAATTGGGTAGACCATGAAGAGATGCAGTTTGGGTGTGCCTCTGAAAGCCTCTAATGATAAGAATTCTAAAGAATGGAAAGCTCCTGCCTATTTGAAGGTCAGTTGCTCAGGAAAGGTCTTGTGGTCTTTGCCCTATGACCCAAGGCAAAGTCAGCTGGGTGGCCTTCGGCTACTTCACTACTACTCGTGATGGCTCGGGGCCCTAATGACTTGGCTTGGAGCTCTCCATCCATTCCAGTGACATGGTTCAGCCTGCCAAAGGTGTAGGTAAGAGCTAGAGACTTCTTTTAAAGCAACTGCACCTTCGATAGCAACGCTCTCTTTCTTTGGCGGGGCTTGGAAGAGCCTTTTTGCAAGGAGCTCTCGGTAAGAGATAGAGACCCTGTCTTTGGGCTTGCAGGAGTGACAGAGAAGCAGCTGGCAGGACACAGGTAAAACAGAATCCTAAGATTTCTAGGAGTTAAGGAGCCTTCTCAGGTTTGGAGGAGCTCAAGAGAAAGGTAGACTAGCTAGACAGAATGACACAGATAGAGATTTCTAAAGAACTAGTAGTCTAGTTGTAGAAACAGGATTGTAAA